TGATATCCAGCAAGATACAAGCACACTCGAACAGCAAGTGCAAACCTGGTCGACCTGGTCGACTGTCTGGCTATGTACGAGCTCGAGTCAAACGTCAAAACAAGACAGAGTACTTGACCACCGATCCGAGTGAGCCAGGCTCTATTAAGATCAATGGTACTGAGCTCACACGTACAACAACATTCAAGTATCTTGGATCAGCAATCGCGTCTGATAGCAGTCTGGTTTTTGGAGGGAATTCTCGCTTGAATGCGGCCTGGTCGAAATTTCCTTCAATGACTGGCGTTCTCTGTGATAAGAATATACCAGAACGTCTCAAATCCAAGGTCTATAAACCCTTCATTTGGCCAGTTGCGATTCACGGTGCAGAGAGCTGGCCTGCCACTAAAGAAGTCGAACCCGTTTCAGTATTATGGAGACAGGGATGCTGCGTTGGAGCCGGAGTAGCACGATTAGGCCACATTCGAAACGAAGTCATCAGAGAAGCGATTCGGTGTGGCTCCAATTGCCGACAAGATGCGCGAAGCCCGTCTTCGATGGTACGGTCATGTTCTTAGGAGGAATAGATGAACAATCCTAGGATTCAGCTTAACAGCTTGACGTGTCCTAGGAGCGCTAAGGATGCCCGAAACGACTGGGGCGGCAGATACGTGCACAGAGATCAGGTAAAAGTGGCGTCAGCATATCAGAAAAGCGGAACCCGCCAACAAGTGGGACAAACGCTAAAGAAAGAAGTAATTATTAGCAAGCATTTTTCTCATAACTAAGTTTGGCATAATTCACAGTAAGATTTTAAGAGGTTGATTTTGTAATTAGAATGTGGCATGCTAACCGCCTGTATATCCAAGGAGATTTGTATATTAGAAGTGATTACTGTTCAGGACTCTTTCGTCATCTTATAGCTCTTCAAGACAAGAGAGGGCCTTGAACCAGGGTGAATATTGGTCGAAGAAATCCTCGATAGGGGGTCGTATTTGTCAAGGTGGGTCGTACTTTTAGGTGGTCAGTAACGTCAGTGGCATCGTGGTGCAGATAGGAGGGGGAGGGTGTGGCGCAGCAGAAAACAGAGATATGTGAGGAAACAAGAGATAAAATATTCTTTGCAGGTGCGGTCGCTCCGTCTCTCTACCTTCGAAAAGGAAGTATTTGAAAGTACTACAAAGAGTGAAAGAGCATGTTTCGCAAGGAGCACGGTCACATGTGCATGCGCGCTGCGAAGGCATTTCCTCTATCTATCGCCCCAACACCTCATTGAGAATGACACTGTTGTTAGGGACGTTGTGGCAGAAAACGGCAATAGTTCTGGGAAGACCCTGAGCGAATGAAGCTGTTCCTTAGGTTACAGGAGTTGAGAAATGTGTTTAATGCAATACACTTTCTGTCAACAGGTCATCATCATATGTATAACACCTTTCAATAGATTCTACAACTTGAGTGGAGGTCGGATGCATGGCCTATACTGAGACGAGATCGGACGATGACGATTGCCCCTTTTCTTGTCGCTTATGTTGGGAGAATTTATTCTAGACACATTTCGAGCGCTGTCAACAAATACATTTGCAATGGTGAAAAGAGAGCGCTCTTCTTGTTGGCCGAGAATCATCCTCAATAGATCCTCGACGCAAATATCTCTCAAGCTAGAGAATGTAGGAGATAGCTAAACAGACTATTTAGAAGCGCAAACCTTCCGCTTTCCAGCCGTCTTCCTTTTTCCAAGATCCTACAAAATTAGAGAGATATTGCCTTTTGAATGGCAAAAACTCGCATGAAAATTCAGCATCCTCGACGCTCCCTCGACAAAATTTAAGAGACCCTATCTCTTCGAGTGAAGATTTTAGATCAATTTCAATATTGCCCGGTAGTAGCAAATCCAGCTCTATCTAACCCTACCTACATACTGCTCCAAAAGTTGTGAAATGGGAGAATGAAACCTTTCATCGAGAGTGTTACGATTAATCGACGGTTTTTCGAACGGATGTCCCAAATCTGGCCACGGACAAACCGCGCTGCAACTGAATGCTTTGCTGTACATTTATGGAACTCGCTTATTCACATCAAATTCAACGTTAGAGTGGTTGTACCAAGACCGAGATGGGGGGGGCGTCGTACTGATGGTGACCATCGTAATCGACACGATTTTCACCCTGCCTTGAACTGCATCAAATATCTACTGTACACATTGACTTTTTAATATTAGCTGTCCATCCCTTTTGGAACTGTGTTCCCCGTCAAAACATAAAGTTACTTTTCGAACAATGTACAATATGAAAGCCTAAACCGCAGTCGTATTCAATACATTGCTGAAATCAAGAAGTCGGAGGAAAACCTGCCTCAAGATACAACTTTACCCGTGTTGAGTTGTTTGCGCCTAAAGTGACGTGGCACAAACTGGCTACGTGCGAATTTGCATTGTCGCCAAAAAAAGATGAATGTGGAGTTTGCGACTACAAGAGATCCCATTAGAGGTGGTCAGTTGTTCAGGGATTAAAGAAACATGAGAAACGGACCATAACCCGAGAAATGGAACCTCCTTACCCCTTGATTTCTGCATTGATGCGCATCTCATCAGAAGTGCCCTCTAAGACAATAACGCTGCCGCTCTGCTAAACGGCTTGAGACCAACATGAATGGTTGGCCAGTCAGTGGTCGTTGGATCTTTCTTTATTAAAACAAGGATTCCATGGAATCCAGAACTAACACGATCACCACTGTTCTTCTGGAATGTTCGTGCGGCCAGCACATCGTTACCGCTTACTCAAGCCGCGTTGTACGGGGTTCAAACCAAGCGACTATCATTGCATGGGCTCCGATCTAGGAGCCAACCAATTTTTATATATAATGGGCAAGGCAGAATGATATCCGACTTTTACGAGTAACTACGAGTAATTCGCCATCAGAACATGCACATAATAGGAGTAAGACCCACCAACAATGGCGCACACCTTGATGTCGTACCCGTAGAAGAAACCGCGTTCGATTATCAAATCACCTTCAGAAAACAAACAACCGATAAGCGCGCTTACCTAAACAGAACTTTCATCACTAATTTTTCTAAGAAACGACAGGCATAGGGTGGGTTGTTTTTGAAATAAATCATTCAGGATTCCGAAATCTAACAATAAGGAGAAAGAAGAAAATCAAAGTGTGAGCAACATTAGCAGTGAAACAAAACCCACCATGCCGCAACTGTACATCTGAAGATTGCGTATCCAGAACGGGGTTGTGCCACTTCCTTTGAGCATCATTTCGAAGTATACACCTAAAACAACCACAACATAAACCTATTTCAACTGATATCAAAAACGTATAGCTGGTCTGTGGTACTGCAAAAAACATCTTGGTCGATATGTTGATCGATTCATGTGAGCTGAACTCGATGTATGTCGGAATTGAATCAAACTATTGAGCAGTTTAATTGACCAAATATAATCAGCCGAATTCGCTTGAACTGGAACTAACCCGCAAATCCGGCTGTAATGCACGTGGCGAGAACCGCCGAAATTCCTATGAGATAATTTCCCTTCTTTTCCTGATTAGTGTCGTGAGCATTGTTGAGCTAAAAAAGAGGTAGGGAAAGGTTGAAAAAGGGATCAGAGCCTCTTATGTCTTGCTTTGTATTAGCAAGATCTTCCTCAGAACCTCAATAGGGAAGCTTTTCCAAGTCAGTGGGCACCAACCTGAACAGCAGCGACACCAAAGAAAAGAAGGAGTATAGCCGCCCATCTAGTTCGCGAGAACTTCCGCCCGAGGAACAGCATCATGAATATCGCAGTAGTGAACACTTTCAGTTGCGTCGTGACCTTACCAAGAAACATCGTCAGTATGATATTAGGTGAAATAAAAAGCAAACCACATAAAACAAAACAACAACAGCGAGCCGCCATAAATCTCACCTGGTATAATCCAGCATCGAGATGAGAAAGCGCGATGAAGTCCAGATTATTTTGTAAAGCATAAGCAACGGAAGGTACACTCATCTTGAAAAGTTCGCGAGGGGCGTCCAAGTAGTACTTTTGAATACACTTAAAAATTAGCAAAATGAACAGTCACGGAAAAATCGGATCGTCCATTTTCAAAGGGGATCAAATCAAAATCAAAAACAAACAGTAACCAATGAATGTCAAAATCGGTGTCAGGAGATAAGCTTCTGGACTACAAAAGGAAGACATATAAAGCAAGGGGGAATCCATAGAACTGCTCAGCTCGGAATGATCTTACAGTCTACATCCTCTGGCTGTGGTCGTACGTCGAACACGGGGTTATCATCGGGTACTCAGGGTGCGGTCATACTTTGCGACCACGTAGTCGATAATTATCTACTCCACACTTGAGCAGCAAGCGATGAGCAAAAGTATGGGCACACCCTTACAATGAG